AAGAAGCATTATCACAGCCTCCCATAGGAAGCCCCTGTCTCTGTAATGGACAGGGTACTTCGCAGCAAGTGAGGTCTTACCTGAGAACCACCATCCCTTTTCCCAGTGAACTGGCTGGGGAGTGTCTCCTGGCCAGCTGGTCTTGCTGCCTGGAGCTGCTGGTTCCCTTCCTGTCCTTCCTCCTGCCTGGCCACAGCCAGAGCAGGTCACAGCTTTTCCTGTCCTGCTGCACCATGAGACTCTGGAAACCCACAGCTGCCAAGCTTTGCTGTAGAAAAAAACGAAAAGTAACAAGGGGCAGGATGAAGCTGCTGAAAGGCATCTGGTTTTGCTGCATGAAGGGAGAGGTCAGATGTGGGGGAACAGCCTTTCCTCTGCCGATGTTGTGGCAGCCCCCACCCCGGTCCTAAGGGTTACATGACCTTTTGCCAGCTTTTTTGTATTCATGCTGTAAGAACATTTAATGCTAATAGACCCTGGGTGCTGAGCAGCTCATGTACAGACTATTATCTCCCTTTCAACTGGAAGCTGAGCGTTGTTGCTCTGCAAACCAGCACAACAGCTGAGTGAACACAACATAATGCCCATGAATTATTGCAGGCAACGCCCATGTCCTCCCCAGTGGTGTGTGGCAGGGTCATCTGCTCTTCATTATTCTGTTCTACCTGGGAAATCTCTTTCAGTGTCTATTTTTGTCTAGTATTTTCCCTTTAAATCCATTGCAGTGGTGACACGTTGGTTATTTGACCATAATTCAGTATATAAAACCAGCCATAAGCAGGAACATTGCTTTCTGCATGGCCTTGAGGGCTGAAGTAAAACTCACCTGACCTGGATGTTTGTTTCTCCAACAACACAAGCTCCAGGTCTTTTGGCTGAGACTTTCTGGGCATTTTGCAGCCCTGGTTCACTGGAGAGCAGCTTTAGTTGTGTAATCCCACAAATGCCTGTGACATGGTCAGATTTTGGCAGTGGTGGGATGAGCATGCTCCAGCGTGCCCATGATCATCCCTGTGCTCCCACAGTCCTGACTGGAATGCCATGGAGCTCATCAGAGCATCCTCTTGCTGCAGTGGGAGGCCAGAGGCATCACACCCTGGCTCTGGCTTGTTAGCTCCCCGTGGCACTACAGATTTGTTCCTTGCAGTAAAGAGTCTAATGTTCTTATCATGCTGGGTATAAAGGTCTTGAAAAAATTTCTCTTATGAGTGATATTGCATCACCTGATCATTCTCACCATCATAAGTTTCTCAAACTGAGATTTTATTTACATTGCAAAGCAGGGGGATCTGCAGTCCCTACCCTAGAAAACTGTCAGTCTAATAATTTTAATTTTGAAGCTCCTATAAAATCCAGCTCCCTCAGCCTCCTTCCAGCTACTGCTGCTCTAAACATCCCTGACTGGAAATCTTGCCCCCAGTTTCAGAAGCAAGCAGCAAGGCTCAGGCATCTTTAACTCACACAGTGGCCCCCAGCTGGGGATTTCTGCTGTGTCTTCACGTTGTCACACGCAGTGTGGCAGTGTCCTGCTTCCTCCAGCAGTGCCTGATGAGCAGGGGATGGACCTAAGCAATGCAAGCATGTGCCTGCACTTTTCTGCCCTGATGTGGGTGATATGGATTGGTCCATTCATGTAAATGTCTTGGCTGTTGTGTGTTGCTTTCCTTGCTTATTAATCAAAATTATGCAAAATGAGGGGAAAGCAATTTTTTGGGAAAAAAATGAAATACCATCAACAGTGACTGATTAGAGCCTGCTGGAATGTGATGGGGCAGTCTGCCACCCACCAGGCATGAGGATCCCTACAATAACTGGGGAAAAAAATTGTTTTATTTTGGCAATTTTGGTCAATGTTTAGATGTTTTCTGTTCAGGCAGTGTCGTGATGGAAGATTTGCTTATATCTATTTGTTTGGTTAAAAAAAAAAAAAAGTCCCAGTGTTTTGTTTGCATCTGACATATTTCAGTCAGTTGCAAATGGTTTTTTTTGGATGTGTGTTTTTGTTTTGCTTAGAAAACAAATGAAAGGAAACAACTTTAATTTGTGGGCACCTTGAAGTTATTTTTGCTACTGCCATTTAGGGAGACCACTCTGTAGCCAGCAGTGGATGCAAAACACTGAGACATAAACAAAACATCTGGGATGTGAATATTCCCACTGAACCAATTCACAGGTTGGAAATGGAGCTGGTGCTTAAGTGCCTTGGTGGATTGAGGCTTTAGCAGTAACAAATAGTACTAAGTAAAAATCATCAATTAAAGATCTCCTAATGAATCAAAATATCAGCCACTCTGAGCTGAGAAGGGCAGAAGCTGAAAGGCAGATTAGAGAAGGTGTGAAATCTCCCTGCTCAGTGTTTCTGACTGCCTGGTAGCCACAGCTCTGTGCTGCTTGTATTTCTTGGTAAAACTGAAAAGCAGGGAAATATGTGAGACACTGCTGCTGATCCTGTTTGTTTCTGTTATACAAACAGTGGGGAGAGTCTAGATATTTATTTCTTTTCCACACACAGAATTAAAAAAACCAAACAAACAAACCAAAGATGGATGACTGGAAAAAGTTACTCTCCTTTAAATTGTTGTTACCTCAAACCTTTGGAATATTCATTGGTTTTGTGATGCAGTTGATGGATTCTGCTATGCAGCCTGGCAGTGTGTGAGAACATAATGCATGTAGTAAAGGTGACTAACCCCTGACAACATCCCCGCCGATGCCAAGTGGCCCATATGCTGTCATAAACACATTTTATTATTTTTTATTTTTTTTCCATGATCATAAGAATCCATTTTGGGTAGAAGATCACATTAGGCTCATTCATTACCTGCTGTGCTGCTCTGTGCATCTGCAGTGTAGCATCTCTGCACTGAGCTTTGGGCTCATCCCTACGTGTTTTCTGATATTCCAAATCGTCTGTCACGGGTGTACACAGATCTTCTACTCTGTGTGTCCTGGAGCATCCTGCGCCAGAGATAAAAATTATGCTAAAAGGTGGCTAAACTTCTGGGGAATATGGTTGTTGATAGCTGATGTTAGGTTTTATATATCATCAAGAGAAATTCCTGCAGATTGATACTTGTAGCAAAACTATCATTTCTTGTAGCAGAAGAGAAGGAAACTGACTGGCAGGTGAACTGACTCTATTCTTACGAATAAATTTAAAATCTAATGAGAACAACAGGTGTGAGACAGTAGTGAAATTTTACAGTATCCCTGCAAACTTTAATCTACACTTTTATTTTTCTTGAAGGTCTGTCCAGAAGTGAAATTTCAGGCCTAGGGCTACTGAAGACCATCTTTAAAGTTGCTTTGTGATTTTGAGCAATACATCATAGGAGCAGTGATGTTCAGATGATACATTGCACTAATACATCACAGGAGCACTTTCGCTCTTATGATATATTAGTATAATACACTATCAGAACACTATCACTGATGTATTACTCAAAAACACAGTTTCTGACCCTCAAGATTCACCCTCATCTCCAGTCTGAATACACTGAAAGCTGTGGATAATGATAAGAATAAGAAATCACATATTCGGTTTCTCTAGGGTAAAGCTGAGGGAAAAAAATAGTGTGGCATTTGGAATATTTCATTAACTGAAACATCCTTGTGTTTTCATTTTATTCACTGAGCAAATGTTATTATGAATAGAAGCTAACACAATATAGGTGTGTTTGAATTTTCTTACAAATAGCCTAAGCAAACCTTTTTTGATTTCATATTTCATTATAGACTTAAGCCATGTTTTGAGAATGCTTCCATGAGGGGCAGGAGTTTCAGCTGATTTCTACTTCATCAAATTGAATCAGGTGCAAGCTATCTAAATTCTATGCAAACCATTTGGTGCTGTTTCTGATGCAGTCAATTTTTTTTAAGGATTTAGGCACCATCTAAAAAGATCTGAAGATGCATAAATGTGATCTATCACTCAGATTATTTGCTCGCCTCTCCTCACTTAGGTGTTGGGGGTTTTTTTCCCTGAAGAATTGTTCTCAGTTGTTGTTTTTCTTTACTCAAGAGTGAAAGACAAAAGGAAAAAGATAAAAGAATGCATTCCAATGTTGTTAGTAACTGAACTTACTGCAGAAAAGTATTTTTCCCAGTAGAGTTTGGGTCTTGAGGACCTTGCATTATCCTTCCTTTATGGTATGAACAGACTGTCAGAAAAAATAAAAAAATAGGTAATAGCAATAACACAACACTAAGGTGCCAAGTCGTATATTTGTGTTGTTTTGTTTGTTTGCCCCAGATCTCATCAGCACTTTTGACAAAAACACATCATTATTCACCTGCTTCCCAAACTGGGTAACCTAAATCTGCCTGTGCAGCTCAGTCCTCACCTCTGCTACCCCCTGGACAATGGCCCTGTGCCAGGAGAGGAACACACTTCAGGCTCTGCCAAACTGGGCTCATCATCCTTGAGCCTCACAGGTTCTGGGCCACCTGGCACTCTGTCCCTGCAGGTGTGTCCCCAGTATGAGTCTTGTACTTAGGCTTCATTTTTTTGTATTTGGGCTACAGCCTCCAGGGAGGAAAGGAGGCATTAAAGCCTTTTTAACCTTGTGAGAGGCATTTTCCTCTTCTGCCAGCCCTTCTGCCCACACGAGCTCTGCACTGCATCCCATCTCCAGCACCTTCTTATTCCCATCTATTCCAAAGCCACAGCACTCAGCTCCAAGGGACATTGTTATTTCAAAGCTGTGGCTAAATATGTCTCTGACTGACAACTATGAATAATTCCACAGAGCCCCTAAACTTCCAGGCATTTCACTCTGAAGCTCATATAATACACAAGGGCTGTTCTCTCATGTTTTTCATCTTTTATATTCTCCAAAGAGTTGAGATACAGTTATGGAACAGGTTAATGTATTTTCCTCTGAATATAATGCTGTGGGAGCCTGTGCACGGTTACTTGTGTGTGCTGAGAATAATGCTGACAGTTCAGAAAAGAGAGTCATGAACTTGATAATCACCATTATTTTGTTTCACGTTTTCAGCATGTTCATGTCCATGTGCTGCCAAGGAGGGCTGGAGACTTCAGCAGGAATGATGATGTCTACGAGGAGGTAAGAGTTACACTCCATTTCTTCCTCAGAGTTGGTTTTGCTGTTATTAAATTGCTTTAATGATCCAGGCCCTCCCATGGGACCATGCATTTTTATTGCTTGCACAGATCCTGTGACAGCACCAAGATCTATACTGGGATTTCCTTGTGAGCTCCCTCTCTGAGGGAGGATACAGTTGACACTTTTGCTACTTCAGTCTGTCATTGCACACAGGGTCCATCTCTAGAAATAATTGTGTTCTCTTATTTTGAGGGCACAGGAGAAAAGGGTGACCACACGGTCAGCCTGGCATGCAGGGAGGGTGTCCTATGCCAGCTGCTTGCCTGGGGTGCCAAACCTCCCCCTTCCAACCAGAGAAAACACAGGCAGCTTGTTACAGCTCAATCACAAATTGCCTTCCAGCCTGCTTTTTGTAGGGCTCTGCTCCGCTCTGGACAAATCAAATGGTAACCCCAAAGATGGAAATTAAAGAGCAACTCTGCATATAGATGGAATATCTGCATGTGTGCAGATTGTGCAGCAGAGCTCGGCTCATGAGCTGTTCCAGTGTGACTGAATCACTGGCTTTTGTTTAAATGAACAATTGTACTGGCATTAACAAAAAGTTTTCCCCAGTTTGACATCTGTCATAATGATTCTATGAAAAAATCTCACTATTGTTAAATTTATGGCTTGTTCTTTGTGGATTTGGTAGGATCCTCTATCTGAAATATGACATCTCCTTCTCTTTCTGAAAGTAATTAATATAAACTTGCTCACTGCTACTGCAACACCATCTGTGTGAAAGAGACATCGTGACATTTTCTGCTTTTGTATTTTTTCCTTTGTGATATCTACATGATGACAAGTCCCCACTCACAAAAAAAAAAAAATGGTGGAGTGTTTTAAAGATTTTCAATTACTTAAATATGCAAAAATGAAGAAGAAAGCGTATTACTGACAAGTTATATGAAGTGTAGTGCCTGAAAACTCCACTAGTAAGGATAAAACCTTAATGAGACTGCTAAACGAGGAGATCCAATGGAAGTAAATGATGGCAATACTTGCTGGTGTGGTGGTTAAAAGCAGTTTTAGAATGAGACAAAAGTTAACACCAAAAGGGTTGTCAGGCACTGGGAGAGGCTGTTCAGGGATGTGGTGGAGTCGCCATCCCTGGAGGTATTTAAAAGATGTGCAGATGGGGCTCTCAGGGGTGTGGGTTGCTGATGGATTTGGCAGTGCTGGGTTGATGGTTGGATTCAGTGATCTTACAGGTGTTTCCACCTAAATCATTGTATGGTTCTATAACCTTTTCCTTTTCACACATGTTAAGGGGTTTCAGATGCTGCATCAACCCATCAAATCTCTTTCCATTTCTGTCATATTTACAATTCCATTTGCTTCTTCTTTAACACGATTATTTCTCCCTTGTTATAGCTAAACAGAAACAGGCAAAACTCTAATGAACTAGGCTATATATTTAGTGTTGTTAGATGCAAAAGGGTGGCAAATTGGAGAAGAATTTCTTTTTTATTTTGTCATTTCCAATTACAGCAATTGTAGGTGTTGCTTTTATCAAACAGGAAGCACAAATATTTAGACATAGATGTGATAATGTATCTTTTAGCAGAAGAATGTACAGCCTCAGAGTCTAACTAGCTATTCTTGAGCACCACAGAGCTAACACACTTTTGTAGAGACTGTAGCTGAAGAAAGATTTGGGGGTTTTTTAGGATGCCAGGGAAATAAAAACACATTTGTAGCTATAAAAAGTTTGGTGTTTAGTTCTATCACTGTCTGGATTGAGGATGGAGGGACTTAAGAAATTTGCTATCACAGGCGAATAAAGCTATTTAAAAAAATGAAGAAGGGACAAATTATTGAAAATACAGCTGACTTTGGAAATAATTTGAAGCTTATGTCAGTACAGCAAAAACGTTTTGATATAATGCATCTCTATGTGATGTCAGCAAGTCATCTCCTTTTGACAAGAAGATATTTTAAAAGATTTAGGAAGATATGTAGATCATGGTGGGGCAACAGGCTGGAAATCAACAGGGGATAAAGTACCATTAGATGAGATGTGGGTGCTGGAGAGAGCTTTAAATCTATTTTTTCGTGAAATTTGTACTTTAAAAATCCAAAACCTGTTCATAAAAGACACTTCATTTTTATGTATTTGAGTGATAGATGGAGTTGTAGTTTAGGCAGCAAAGGCCACCTTCCAAAAACATCCCAACGGCCTTTTCCTTGTAAAATGTGACATGGAGACTGATCAGCCTCCCTCAAACAGTCTGTGCAATTGTAAAGCACACTGAGGAGAAATTGTGCATATTGCAGTGCCTGGTTTAGCTACCATAGCTAAAGGTTTAACAGCAACTGGGAGCAATTTCCACAGGCTCCAGGTCTCAGCTCTGGCTCAACATGCCTTTTGCAAGCCCCTTCCTATCTGTAAGTGCCTTTGAGCTCTCCAGGCTCTGCAGTTGTCATCTGTATATGCTCAGCAGATTGCTGATAAATCCCACTGCTCTTAGTGTCTGACAGTGAAAGGAATGCCCAGATGCTGAGACATCACTCCTCTTAGGAGACTTCTAGAATTAAGACAGCCAGGAAGTGCTTGCAGTCTCTCACTGTGTGCCTAATTTCTCCCATTCCGTTTTGGCATGACCACTCATCTGATGGAAAAGGCAGAAGAAAGCATTTCAGGTTGCTCCCTGCTTAGTCTGTTTACTGGGCTCTGAGATCTTCAGGCTTTTGGCTCTGAACCTCTGACACAGCCCTGTCTAAAGCAGCTTTTAATGTAAAGGGTATAATTAAAAGTGTTTCTTAGCACTTGTATTTTAATCAGCTATCTGAAGGACACAAATATCTGCTGATATCTTGATATATTTTTGAAACTATGGTAGTGGAAAATTAATTGTAGATGGAATAAAGCAGGGCCTGACACTTATTTCACAGCACCTTCTCTAAGACATTCCTTGGTAGAATGTGTCACTTAATATTTTAGGTTTTTTTACCTCAGTGCATATGAAAGAAGTCACTGTGTGATTTTTCCAAGATACAAAGAGAATCACTAATAGCAAAAAAAACATCTGCATTTAATATTTTATTTGTATTTCCTCTGCATCTTTGCAGGGCTATTTCTTGGAAGGGTATTTCCTGGGAAGTGTTAGTTATCCTCTCTCTGGGCTCACTGTAGTGGAAAGCTAAAGCTATAGTTTATCAGTTCTTACATTTCTCTGCAATTATTTGAAGCCTAATCCTGCAAGTGTGTGCCTGACAAAGTTAAATTTGTCTTACAGGATTTTTTTTTTATAGGATCAGGCCCTTCATCTTTTGCTATTGCTAGATTGCTTTTCTCATCTTCATCTTGAGTAGTTCTTATTCATTGATTCTTTATATCTTGGACAGCAGAACAATAGCAGCTAAATATTAGGAAAACCTTCCATTAGAATAACTCTTTATACCTCAGTATTTTCTGTTTGGTTTGAAAGAGATTATATTTCACATTAATTAATCAAGGAACTTAGAAGCCTCTTATGAAGTAGTTTCTTGCTTCGAAGTAGGTGAGTTCTTTGCTATTACGAGGGCATGTCTCAGTGACTGATAAGAATTTGGTATGAAAGAACATCTTTACTGTAGAACAGCCCCCAGTGTTGCAGTCAGCACAAGCACTGCAGTTGTTGGAAGTCATCGTGTCCAAGACATTCAAGAACATAATCCTGAAAAGTCTTGGCACTTCCAGGCATCTGTGAGCAGCCCTCATTCAGTGGGTGTTTGAAAAGTCCATAGCACAGCCTGTCCCTGGTCTCCACTGAGTGGTTAGCCATTGCTGCAATATAAATAACATTCATCATCCTTTAGGCTGGCAGGTAATAGCTGTACTGGGCCAGAGACAATGGGAATCTCTCAGAAAGGAAGACTCAATCAAAACTCTGCACTCCTGTTATGAGTGCTGACCTCAATAAGTTAATTTTGAGGCTGACAGACTCAGATGGGCAAGGGCAGCTTGGCCCCTCAGTGAAACCCTGAGCATCCCTGGCATGCTGAGGTGAGTTTTGTGGTGCACACCCCTGTTCCTCCCCAGATCCTGTGTTTCAGCTGATGCCTGCAGCCTCCTGTAACAGAGGCAGCTGCCACAGCAATGCACATCCAGGGCTGTGCATGCAGGGCAAGGAGTGCCCAGCCCCTCTGCAGCCTTGCTCTCGTGCCCTCCTCGTCTCACTGCCTGCCTGCAGTTCCCAGCCTAGACTGGAGAGCACTGGAAAGGGGGAAAATGTGAAAGAGGGAGATTAACCCAAAGCCCTGTGTCTCCATCCTCCTCTGCCTGCCAGACCTGCATCATGGATCTCTTCTAATGAAGCTGAGTGAAACTTCCTACTGTGAGTCCTTCAGTAATTTATGAAATTTTATAAAAAGCCAGCAAAAGAATTTGCTTCATGCTATCCTCCTTCCCCTCTGGCATTCAGGCAGGCAGTGAGAGATTCACTAAGGAAAAGATACTTTGACTTAGTGATCTCATTCAGCACGTTATGCTAAATCATTTCAGCAAGAATACCTATTAGTAATCATTTCCAGTTCCAGGAAGGATGAAGGAGGCATTTTGGCATATGAGTCAAGAACCTGCTGGGCTGTTTCTTCAGGCTGGCAAAACAGGGGAACAGTGGTGAATTCAGAAGTTTAGTTAAACAAGCCTGAAGTTTAATTCTCCCTGAACGGCTTTGAGTGTGACATGCCATCACTCCGAGCTGCAGACAGCATCCTGCCTGCTGCTGGGCACTGAGCCTGGCACAGGCTGCAAACCTGCACAGCTGCACTGAGCTGCTTAAAGGGCTTAAAGGCAAGGTATGAAGTAAAAAGATAAATAAGCCCTCATCCAGGTCCTGTGAGACAAAATGGAAAGATGCCCAACAGCTCCTGTGAGCATCAGATTGAACTATTCATGAAAATTAATGGCATGCAGAGCTAATAGGCTGTTCCTTGGCCCCAGAATGATATTGTACCTTCTGGGAACATATTGT